CTTTCATTCTCTCACTTTATCATTCGTGATGTGTACCACCCCATCCATGGGTGTTAAGCCTCTAGGGTTAATTTTGTTGTAATTTTTTAACTGGATGATGAGGTTAGAGTGAAATAAATTGTTTGTTCTTTTGATTATATATTGTTGTGATTTATTATTGTTTATGTCTTTTATCTTTAAACCAAGTAAAAGTAATGATTTTTACATTGTAGTAAGTTAGCATCGGGTTAAATCTACATGCATATTAATCATATGAGTCAAAAGGTTTTCAATTTTAATGAGAAGTCACTTTGATTAATTTTAGAAACTTTTTTATTGAATGAGTTTTTACTAGTAATTGAGAAGTTACTTTGATCAAAGTGAAAACTTTAATTAGAATTAATTAATTACTTTAGTTAATTAGCTTTTTACTTCGAATCAAATTCTTCTTAAAATTTCTATTTGGATGAATTGACGCTTAACCAGGTTATAATGGAAAATGGCACACCGCATAATACCCATTCCTATTTTTTTTACCTCATTTTATTTAAAGGACAACAAAATTGTAAAAAAAATCTAAAATAATAAAAATTTGATACAAATAATACGATCATTTTTTCATAAAAATGAAGAAGTCATATTTAAGTGAAATTAGTCACTTTTACTTACCCTTTATTTTACATAAATTATAAGTAAAAAATGTAATAACTATATGAAAAGCAAAATTAAACCTTGTTCATACATGGACTTCTCATATATGAAATGAACCACTTCAAAAAGATTCATTGTTTATTTGATAAATAGATAAGTTGGACATTTCCAGTCCACCAAGCGAAACCGACAGTTTCCTGGTCACAACCTCTTAAAACTAAAGTTACAATAAAGAGTGTTTCCATGTGTTAAAACCTCCTCAAAGAATACAAGGTTTTCATGGGACCGATCTTGAGCTACAATCCACGCACGAATACATTCGTTTAAGAGAATATTTTTAGTGTAAAAAGTCTCAAATTTAGGATCTTCATGTAAAAGAGGAAAATAATATACATGATTAGGCATAGTAATAACTTATTACTATGGTTAAATTTGCTATGATTAGTCTAAAAAGTTATTTTGTGTTTGAAAAATTACTTTGATTAATTGTGAGGACGCCAATAAGTTATTAAGAAGTTACATTGATTAATTTGAAAATATAGGACAATAATCAATGGAACAATAATATTTACAAAATCAACTATGAATCTTATTTTGAAAAGGCATTAAAATCAACCTATTTCATAATTATTATTTTAAGTTTTTAATTTTGTTTGCAATTTGTTTTTTTTTTCTTTGCTATTTAATTTATTTTCATACCATAATGGTTAGTGGCATACCAAAAAATCATCTTTATTATATAGTAGTATTAAACATATTTATATTGACATATTATCTTTTTAAATATTTTTCATCTCATTCATATTTATTTATTTTAATTGCAAAAGGTTAGATCCTTATTTTTCTTTATTATTATTATTATTATTATTATTATTATTATTTGTATTATGATTTCCTATGTAGGTTTTATAAGAATTCATTGGCATAATATATGTTACTATAGAAATTTAAGGATAATATGTTATAAATGAGACTTAATTCTATAATAATGTGATAATAATTTATTTTATTTTGATAAAAATCTTATTAAATTGTTAAATATTTAAAAAAAACTGATAAAATTTTTGTAATAATTATTTATAATATTTTTTTACATTATTTTTATATTAATGATTTTAAATTTCTCTTATATTTATAAATAATACTAATTTATAATAAGAAATATATATTTGTCAAATAAATATAAAAAATAATTAATAAGATACATGTATTGATTGATATTAAATTTAATATAATAAGTATTTTTATTTTTAATTTAATTGTTTTTCATTTTTTTAATAGTAGTTATTTTTTAATTATGATTAATTTGCTCTTTAACACCTTGTAATAATACCAATTTAAGCTTCAGTTAATATCTCACATCCATCAGTGTCAGCAGGCATTAATATATGATCAATTAACCTAATCCAATTCGTGATTGTTTTAGATTGAATATTGAAAAAAAAAAAATCTGATTGAAATTAATCTAAGAGCATTTTTTTTTTTATTATTATTAAATTTACCCCGTGTTATCTTCAATTTCAGATCCAACTCTATATATTACCAAGAGTATGTTAGCTGATATCTTAAGCTAAGAATCTCAATAATATTCTACGTACACTTACGTATTTTATAACATTTTTTTCTAGGATAATGATATATATCTTATGCTAAAGGAGAAAAAATTTTAGCTGATATATATATATATATATATATATATATATATATATATATATATATATATATATATATATATATATATATATATTAACAGTATATTTTAGCTGATATTTTAAGCTAACGAAGAATCTGAGTATTATTCTACACTTACGGATTTAACAACTTTTTTTTTTTTTGAAGGATACGTATTTAATATTCTGAAGATCACAAGATAATTGAGAAGGAAAAAATAGGAAGATTATTTTATGATCGATAAGTCTTGTGAAGTTTGGTTAAGCCAAGTATTCACAATATAAACTTACTTTTCTTTCTCTATTTTCTTTATATGTATATAATTGCAATGACTTCACACTGTTTACTAATCTGGCTTTATCTTTATTATTTAGATTATTAACAACTTTTTAAAATTAATTAATTAAATTATTTTTTTCTATTTTTAAACTATATGTTTAATAATTTGGACATGATATATTAGATTTTGTTAAATGATTACATAAATGAAAAATGAAACAGTTTATTTTCTATTTATAATAAAAAATATAACTAAAAATTAATAGAATTCTTTGTTGTCTTCAAACCTCTCGTATATTTATAACTTATAATAACTTTTTTATTTCTTTCACTAGTATTGTATTTTATTCAAAATCAAAAGCAACATAATTTATCATTCAAATATTTTTTTTCACTTTTAAAAATAAATTATTATATATAATTTTAAAAATTACCATTTTTATTTAAATTAAATAAATTTTAATAACTCTTTCTATTTTATAAATCTAATTTACAGAGGAATAAATCAGTATTTTAAAAGAAGTCAAAGTTTTAAAAAGATTTTACAACTTTTTTTTTTAAAGGCTTTTAAGCTACTAGAAAGACAAACAACTTCGTAACTTAATTAATAAAGGTTCGTTTATTCCAAGCTTTTATAATGAATACAATTTACGTAAGTTTTGATTTTTTTTATTAAATTTGTTTAATACAAATTTTCCGTTTAAGCATTTTTTTATTATATAATAATCAAATGAAATGATTTTTAAAAATTTATATACTAATATTTTTGAAACAAGAATAATTTATATGTGGCCTGCTAAAAATTATGTTAGCTTGCTATCTTAACCAAATGAAGACGAGAATATTATTCTACTCTTTATTATTTTATCAATTATTGTTTTATCTGATAATTCTTGGATTACGCAAAATTCTTACGACAACGATACAAGAAGAGCAAAAATAAGAAAAAATAACTTTTCAATATAAGTTTTAACATTCAAAATAAAATACTAGAAAGATAAATATGTAAAAAAAGTAAATTATAAAAAAATTAAATATACAATAAAGATAAAATGTAGGGAAGTTAATCTAATCCATTATTAAAAATAGAATAGAAACTGGTAAACGAAATTAATAAAAATAATTATTCAAATTACAAAAATATTTATTGAGTACCATGTTTGTAGTATTTTTTTAGAACGGAATTTTTAGTATAATTTGATAATCATCATAAATTACATTTATTAAAAAAAGTTGTAAAATCTTTTCAACAACAATTGGGTTAATAATAATTTAAAAGACCTCAGAAATTTCAAAATAAAAGGGAAGAAATAAACAATTAATATGGTCAATTTGAAAATTTTGGTTGAACCAACATTTGTTAGGAAAGAATAAACTTTTTTTCTTAATCATGGTCCTATGTTCGTGTATGAGCTCATATGAGTGACGTGCTGTACCATTTCACTTCAAATTATTGAATCGAATATCTTCATTTGAAAATTAATTAAAAAGAAAGTTATTCGAAAATTTATAAATCATAGAAGTTTCGATTGTGGTCGTCAATTTGTGATATGTATAGATGCTTCATAGGATAGGGTATCCCTGAAAAAGTGGATATGTATAGTGCTTCATAGGCTCTAAAATTTGTTTTATTGTTGAAAGTCTCTATTAGTTTTAGGTTGGAATCTGTATCAGACCCACAATCTAATATCTTTTTAATTATTGTCATAGGCTAAAAATTGCTCTTTACTTAGGTCAAAAATACTGTTTGCCTGATCCAGCCAACTTCCTTGAAGAGGGTAAGTGGAAAGTCTCACCTCTTCTATTTCATATCATTTGATATAATATAAATACACGTTAACCTATTTCCCGTATTGAATTGGTTTTATCTCGTAACCTTAACATTTTTTAACCTTTTTGTTATGTGATCATGAGAAATATCTCTTCTAAATGCCTTGCAACACACTGCCTTAGTTGCTTTTGTTGGAATATCATTTCTCGATTGTAAAAGTAGGGAAGAAGATAGATAAACATACACCAGAGGGGTCAAGACTCGATATCCTTATCTTTATCATATCTATGCCAACATATTCTCTTGCAAAAAAAAAGATAAAAAAAATTCAAATTTGGAAGCAGAATAATAATCTCATTCTGAAATAAACTAATGCTAGATACTCAAATTAAATTATAGTCTCATTAGATCTAATTGATCCCCCATCATGTATGGGACACACAGAGAGGCTTACATAATATATAACCTTGAAACTTGTTACAATAATTCGAATTGGCGTATATAAAAGCTTTTTCCTTATAAACTATGCATCTGGGTCCAGTGTTCTCTTACAGGCTAGCTATATAAATGGTACTTGCTCCTAGTAACCGAGCCATCTTAAGTTAGAACTTGTGAAATACTATATACTACAAAGACACGAGGTTGCTCTATGGGCAATCCATTCAGCAAATATGTGAAGATTGATCTTTACAAATGGTCGAGTTCAGACTTTCCTCAAGAGTACGCTCTTGTTTACACTTCTCTTGAAGATGCGTCCAAAATCAGCACTTTACGGTTGAGCGTCAACACAGACATGGTGCTATGCAGACATACTGACAACATGTGCAACGATCATCCAGTACGAATATATGTGAAGATCACTGCTCTAAGAGACAGCAACGGAGATTGCAAGTTCGGGGAAGTCCTAGTTATTGAACGTGGGAATAAAGAAGATAGAACTGTGGACGACGACTACGCATCGTTCACTTATTGTTGTGATGATGAAAGTGGTGATTTTTGGGTGAAGTGTAGAAGTCAAAATCTTGATCGTGTGAATATGGAGAGAACATATTGGGAGTTTAGTCACTCCTATGATGTTGGTCTTAGAAGAAAGCTTAAATATTTTGTGAGCATTCAGTGCAATAAAGAGACAGGACTTAGCGTGGTGTTTAGTGGGCCTTTTATGTACAAGGGTGTGATTTTTGACGATGAACTAGGTTTGCAGAGTAAGCGTGAGGTATCGGGAGAACCCCCAAAAGGGTTGATTGCAAATGCTGAAAGTGCATTTGAAGGAAAAGGGTACACCCTCTTGAAAAGGAATCAGAATGGGTGCACCCTACCTTCGGAAAAAGCTAAGAAAGCCATTAAAACTGGTGCACAAGCTCTGCCAGTGCTTAATCCAGGTTCACAAGCTTCAGGACTGATTAATAATCTAGGTTCACAGACTCAAGGTCATTTCAATGGGGCTGTACTACATAATGTCCAGATTTATGGACAATACCAGCTTGGACGTACCGTGGAGACCAATAACTCTCTGAGTTGAAGGGGATAATGGTCTGAGTCAAGTCTTTATATTTGATATGGTTTCCATGTTTGTTAGTCCGATGAGACTTTATCAATAGTGTGCTTGTTTGCAGATGTTATTTTCTGTATGTGATTTTCCTAAAGTTACTAATATTACTATTACGGCTAAAACAAGAGTGATATATATATATATATGCCAAAGAATATGTTAGCTGATATCTTAGGCTACTGAAGAATTCGAATATTATTCTACACTTATATATTTTATATTTTTCTATTCGAATATACTGGTTTCTTTTGTGCTATTAAGAGACAAGAAGATAAGAAGAGAAAAAAATGAGAAGAATTATTTGTTTTCTTTATTGACTAGATTACAAAACAAAACATCGATATAAATAAACATCCACCAAGTGTATTTTCCTTCGAAAAACCTCCAAACAGAAGCCATTTACACTATCTCTCAAATATTTTATACTTCTTTATATATTACAGACTTATATATTTTCGGATCTGTTTGGTTAAATAGAAGGGTGGAAGAGGAGGAAAGGAGGGATTTTAATGTAGATGAGGGAGTGGAAGGATGAAAGATGGTTTGAATTAGACATTATGATTGGTTAAGGGTAGAAGGAAGAGAATAAAACAGAGTATGAGAGAGGAAGGTAGCAGAAAAACAACTGCTACAAATTTTGAGACCAGGAATGGGATCCATGAGATTTATAAAAAGAGCGGTCATATTTTGATAATTATATACGATATCATTCTTTAAATAATTTATTAAATGATTTAATAAAAATAAAAATAAATTAAAATTATTATTATAATATTAAAAGAGAATTGTTTATAAAAATTATATGATTTAGATTGTCAAAATTTTATTTTATGATATTTTTTATAAAGATGCGAGGAAGGTGAATAAAACAGTTAGAAAAAACTTGTAAACATTATATATCAAATTTTTTTCTTATACCCATTTTTTTTATAGATATAAACAAAATGTCAAAATCAAAACAAAAATAAAAAATATAACATGAAAATTTAGAAATGGAAAATAAAATATGATTATATTTCAAGGGAAAAAACATATCTTTCGAGAGAGTTTTTTTATTATGAGTTTATTCTTTCTTGAACATGTTCTTAAAGTTAATTTATTTACTGCGGTGTTTTTTTGTTTTTTTTATCGATTGATTGAAGTGAAACTCTTATTTTATTTAAAAAGATTATTAAAGTATAATATATAATAGATTATATATATAATTTGTAAAAGTTTACTAATTTTACACACACGTATATATATATATATATATATATATATATATATATATATATATATAAATATTCTAAAATCAACACCAACATAATTTATCATTATTTTTTCCCTTTTAAAAATTAAATATTTTATATATAGGTTTAAAATTGGTTTTTCATGTAAATTAAATCAATTTTACTAAGTCTTTGTATTTTATAAACGTATTTGTTATAGAAATAAATAATTCAAACGAAATCAAAGTTTTAAAATTATTTCACAACTTTTTTTTTTTTTAAAAAGGTTTGACCTCAAAAAAATATATAGATAAACTAACACCTTTATAACTTAATTAATAGTTTATTCCAGGTTTGTATGATGAAGACAAGTTACTAAAAAAAGCATTTTTTATTGTATAATAATCAAATGAAATGATTTTTAAAAGTTATATACTGATATTTTAGAACAAGAATAATTTACATATGGCTAGCTAAAAAACTATGTTAGCAACTATCTCAAGCAAACAATGAAACAGAATATTATTCTACAATTATATTATTTTATAACTTTTTACTATGTTAACTTTTTACTAATATATATTTGAGTTCTTTAGGTTTAGAAAATAGAGAACAACAAAATTGTGTATGTTGCTTAGTAAAAGTAAAGAAGCTATGATAAAAAGAAGGACTTAAAAATCAAAATAGTTTCGTGGAAAGAAGCTAGTTTGGATAAGAGATTGTTTTGTATTCATTACTCTATATTTTGATTTTTTTTTTTTATTATCTAATCTTGTATTTTAACCATCTTATTAAGAAGAGAAAATGTTTTACTACTTTTTATATATTACAAGAGAATTTGTACTGTATTTATTAATTATTATTAATAAAAAAATTCTTTTTTAATTGTTAAATATTTTGTGACATTAACCACTTTTGCATATTCTCCTGTGTTCGATTTTGAGAAGAAACCCTATGCATCTCTACATATTTTTTTCTTTGGCGGGAGAGAATCTATATCTGGTTGAAACCTGGGGAAAAATAAGAGAAAGTGTTAAAAGAGAAAAATTGTATATATGACAGTTAGCAGCTGAAACATGTGATTATATAGTTTTTGAAATTGCAATCATAATTTTAAATTGCTACTTAATTAATGTCTCTATTTCTAATATCAATATATTAATAAAAAATAATAAAATATTAAAAAATTTATATTAAAAGAGTGATTTATTATATAATTAATAATCAAATGAAATTATTTTAAAAAGTTATATACTAATTTTTTAAAGCAAGGATAATTTATATGTGGCTATCTAAAAAAATATGTTAGCTGCTATCTTAAGCGAATGAAGAATCGGAATATTATTCTGCACTTTATCACTTCTTTTTTATCTGATGATCTTTTTTGCATTAAGTAATGTTTTTACGACAACAATACAAGAAGAGTACTGTGTGAATCTTCAGAGCTGAGATCCGTCTTTCTCGAAATTTGTTAACTCTAATCTAATTTATCATTTTGGTATTCAAATTTAATAATTATTTAATATATTTAATTATATATTTATAATTTTATCCTTTGGTTATTCTTAACTTTTATATAATTTATGATTTTGTCCTCTCAAACTTAATCATAATTTAATATATTTATTTATATATTTATAATTTTATTTTTTCATCTTTTTTCACGTTTTATATTTATTTATTATTTATTAATAATATATTATTTAATTTTTTCAATTAATGATCAAAATTCGCTACTGAGTATAAATAAAAAATGTTTGTCTCCTTTATTTACTAGAAATGAAGAACACCATTCTTATTTCCAAGGTAAAGTTTCCGAAACAGAACTAATTTACACGTACCACTAAATGTTGAATATTTACATTTCTTTATGGAGTTTATAATTTAGAGTTTTAGGACAAAATAAAGACATCAAGATTTGTTGTCGTTATCTTTATGATATCTATATGTCAACATATTCTCTTAACAAAAAAAAATTCAAAATTTTAGTTATTCTATACTCGAAATTAAATTATAGATTTAATATTGAATAAATTTAAATATAATTTTAATATTTTAGTAATTTTTTTATTATTAATAATATGAAAGGTCAAGACTCAATAATTAGATTTATGTTTTGATTATATATTATTAACCGAATTTAAGATTTGGAATTCGGTATATAAATTTCTAGTTGTATTGTTTGATTAATATTTGATAGAAATAATATATTTAAGAGAAAAATTTATTCTCAAATTAGTATTACAGTTTGAGTGTAATGGCAAGTGTGACTAACTATGTGTCCTTATCTTGATTAATAAAAACCTTAAGAAGATAACAAGCACTCCAACTTCAAAGACAACGTTGGATATTTTGGCAAAAGTATATATATATATATATATATATATATATATATATATATATATAAATAAAGGAGTCAACCGAATTAAACAAAGCATGTCTTCAAATACTTTGCGACGAGTTGGAAAGTATTAAAATAAAGAAGTGGAAAGGAGGTTTCAAGTACATCACACATATTTGAAACCGTGATGAACAAACCTAAACTGAAATGGAGAAAAAGATAATGTAACTATTGAATCTCACAAGTGAGGCTGATTAATGCTCGATATTCTACTTCGAGGGATGAACGAGAAACAATAGATTGCTTCTTGGATTTTCAAGAAATCAAAGAAGAAAAAAACACAAAACTTGGTGATCGAGCGGCGAATGTCCAAACAAGTCCAGTCCGAATCAGCAAAAGCAAAAAGACGAATGTCAATAGAGGCAGAAAAAATAACCCTTGGACAGGTGAACCTTTTAAGTATTTAAGAACCCGGATGACAGTTTTATAATGAACATCAAAAGGTTAAGCCATGAATTGACTAAGTTGTTGGACAAAAAAGGCAACTTCAGGACATGTAAGTGTGAGATATAAGAGTTTATCAGTTAATCTGTGATAAGCAGCAGTAAAGGAATACGATTGTCTATGATTAGCATGGCCTGAAGTTTAGTAGAGGGATCAGGAGGAGTGATAGCAAGTTGGAACCAAGTAAACCACTATCATCAAGAAGTTCAAGAGTGTATTTACGTTGGTTTATGTGAATGTCGAACTTGGACCGTTCAATTTCTAATCCCAAAAAATAATGAAGAACACCTAGATCTTTATTCTTGAATTTAATATCCAAGACACATTTTGACAGAATTAATTTCGTCCATGTCATCACCAATTAAGACAATGTCATCACGTAAACTAATAAAGTTGTGAAAGAAGTGAAAGATTGTTTGTAGTTGAGAGATAAAAGAGTGATAGAAAGAATATTGTGTCATTGTCTGCTGACTTGCTTGAGTCCATACAATGATTTGTGAAGTTTGCAAACATGAGAAGAACCCGGTGGAAGCAACCAGGTGGAGGGACCATACAGACTTCCTCATAAAGCTCTCAATAAAGAAAGACATTATTCACATCAAGCTGGTGTAGAAGCTACCATTTAAGTGCTACTATGACAGAAGAATACGGACAATGATGATCTTAACAACTGGGGAGAATGCGTTAAAATAATTCACTCCCTCTAACTATGTGTAACCCTTAACCATTAAGTAGGTTTTGTATCTATCAACAGTGTCATCTGCATGATATTTAACCTTGTAAACTCATTTATAACCAATGGGACTCTTTCCTTGTGGGAGATCAATAATAGATCAGGTGTTATTTTGCTGTAAAGCCTGCAACTTAATATTCATAGCCTTTTGTCAACAATACAATATAGATGCTTAGGAGAA